TTCAGGGAGTGTTCTAGATATCAATGGGCAGAACCCTGTCAATTTTGGTGGAAATCTGCAAACTGGAAAGGGGAAATAGAGGACACATGGATCGCCTAGCGCCTGGATAGAAGAGCTAGCATAGCACTTTCAACTCCTTCTATAATTATCTCTAGAGCAAAGAACCAGTTGATGGCATAAATAACACCTTTCAGCATAACAGCTCCCCCATCTCATCTTTGCCCTGTGTCCCAATAGAATTTAAAGATGGCCAAACACTGAGAGAGAAAGGAAAGAAGAGAGTAAGATTTTCCATCCCAGAAACCCCTGAGCAGAACACTGGTAAGTCTGCATTCTTTGTTCTCTACTTTCAATAACACCAAAACGTTTATTATGATAGATTATGAGTAACATCATAATAAGAAAAGGTAAGAACCATTGGTGAACTTCAGTGTAGACACAAAATACAGCAACAGGAGGGGTTCTTCCGTCACTGTAGTGAATCCATCACCCTGAGAGGCGAAAGCTAGGTTGAGAATAGAATTCTTGCATACAGCTAGTGCTGTCTAGCCTGAAAGAGAAAGAAAAGACGAGAGAAAGGAGAATAAGATTGTGGGGGTGGGAAGGTGGGAATGGGGATGCATCTGAAGAGAAGGGTAAGGGGGCTGCACCCAGGACCTCCCCTATGGAGGGGTCATGGAGCACTTGGCCTGGGGACAGAGTGGATGGAGGGACACACAGGTTCCTTGGCATGGGGAAAGGCTGGGAGGCTGCAGGGAGCCCCTGAAATAGAGGGGAATGGGATGGGGTCCCACAGGGAGTTGTGCGCCGATGGACAGATGCAAGGAGCCCCTGGTGCGTGCAATGAGCTCAGCCTGCATAAGCTATGGACTGTGTGATCCCCCAACCCCTGTTTGCAGGGGCCTGAGGCATGTGAGGTGCTAAGAACCCACAACTCCCAGTGACTTCAGGGTAACCTCCGGGAAGCTGGTTAGCATGTGTGTAGGGTCTTTTCTTGTTTTCTTAAAACAATACTTCCTTAAACACAATGCACTTACCTATCACACCATTTGCCAAACACACACAAAAGAAAAGAAGTGATTAGCTAAAGGACACCAACAATCTCACTGTTTCTGCATAGGAAACAGACACAAATGATGTTTACAAGGTAGAGGAAATATTCCTTTTGTCACAATGGAAATTATTTGATTAGTACGATGTGGGCACACTCTCTCCTTCACTGGGGCTTCTGATCTATTTCCCACCCCAGTGCACATATATGAATGCACAGTTTTGAGGAAACAATGTGTAAAACATTTTCTTTCTATTTTTCCCCCCAGAAACCTCTGAGGAGATCACTGGTAAGTCTGCATTCTTTGTTCTCTACTTTCAATAACACCAAAACATTTATTATGATAGATTATGAGTAACACCATAATAAGAAAAGGTAAGAACCTTTGGTGAACTTCAGTCTAGACACATACTACAGCAACAAGAGGGGTTCTCCCATCACTGTAGTGAATCCATCTTCCTGAGAGGCGAAAGCTGGGTTGACAGAAGAATTCTTGCATCAACCTAGTGCTTTCAACACTGAGCTTAGGTCGGCTTAACTGCACCACTCTAGGGTGTGGATTTTTCTCCCCCCAGCCCC